ATTCATGAAGACTGTCCCCAGGCACCAGGTTAACTCCACTCTGTGATATGGCTTGGAAGTTCAGCCCAGGCATTAAACTGAGGCTCTCGTGAGGTTTGCCTCATTTGCTATCACCCTCTCAGGTATTACTATCCTGTTCTCCTGTTCTCCTTCAAGTTCAAACATGAGAATCCCTGTTTTGTATACTTTGGTTTTTTTTTAGTTCTTTCTTATGGAAACACAAATTAGGTCGTTGTTACTCCATCTTGGCCAAACAGGAGTATTTTATTTCAAAAGTATAAAAGCAAAAGTAAGAATGAATTATGGGCCCAATATGAAAAGGGGTAAGGAAGATTAATAAGCAATTCTCAAGAAGAGAAATTCATACGGTCTATAAACAAGTGAAAAATGTTCAAACCACAGGAATAAACTAAACATTTTTATGCCACCTTTTCCCTGTATTAAGTTATTTTAAAAAGTACAGTTAATACCCAGAGTTTACAAAGATATGGTAAAATAAAACCATTTATAACGCTGAGTCTAAATTGACATGTACTTTCTGGATGGTAATTTAGCAACACACATCAAAAAGTTAAAAATGTTCCTATATTTAATCTACTAATTCCATGTGTAGAAATTCATTATAGAAAAATAACAGTATATTTATAGCATATTAATTCTAAGACTGTTGCTCTTTCACATTTTAACATCTCTGAAATTGAGTACATCTTCCAATTCGTGGTGTGTCAGTTTAATTTTCAGTATTTTTTGTTAGTGATACATAAAATAATGGCACATCTTACAATCAACAGTATTTAGGTTCCACGAAATATACTATCTATAAAGAGTCACGGGAATAGTTTTTAATAGGAGAAAGCTAGTAATATACTGAAGAAAAATGCATTAATTTATACCATGACATATCATTTAGACCATTTCGTGATTTCAAAGCATAATTACTGCTCATCTAAAATAGTTGAGGTCTGATGAAAATATAAACAAGTTTGCTCTACATTTTTTCACACTTACAAGATTCTCCCCTTTGTTGTCAAAGTTTGGTTGAGATAACTGCTCAGGAACTGGTGACTGCTCAAGTAGCAGGGGACTGATACTACTTAAAGCCTCTTTACGAACAGGTGTTCCTCCTTTCCGCAGTGGAGTATTTGCTGGCAAAGATTCATCAAACACTTCAGGGATTAGGTCTTCTCTGAAAGTAACTCTCTTCCTCTTCCTCGTATTAACAAAGGCTGGAAATTTATAATTTTCTTGACCATCTATAGATAATAAAATGGGAAATACTTTTAAATCAAGCTGTATTTCTTATCTAGAAGGCATATCCTAAACTCTTTTAACAAAACTAGATTCAGCTATAATTTGTGTAATATAAAGCGGTCTGCAGAGGAATAAAACTCAAAATGCAAAAGATAAGCAGTATTTCTAATTAAAATATGGTAATAGATTTTCAAATAAATTGTGCATGAGTATCTTAGAAGTTTACAAAATTAGAATGTTAATTTCCTTTACAAATTTTACCATTAAGCAAAAATGGATAGATGAAGTGATAGAGCAATTCTGAGACTCTCCGAAGAGATTCCATCCCTCTCAACTGTTCTTCATTCCCATGTGATTTTAAGCATCAACGCATTTAGCAGATCACTCAAAATACCATATACTATACCAGACTTTTCGTAACAAGAAAATGGTATCCTCACACTTCAAAATAACTGTGAATTTCTTACCTGCTTTGAATTCTTTGCAACAGTTTGCAAGATTTGAGACTAAGCTTGGATGAGGTGCATCATCACAGAGGTTGTCACAATGTTCCTAAAAATAAACACTGATGAGTAACTGTACACATTAAAGTACACACAGTCACTAAGAACGACAACTTTGAATTTTTCTGCCAAGAGTAGATACTATAGTGATGCAGATTACCATTATTTTCATAATTTTTCTGGGTTAAAACCCCGATTACCCCCAAAGATAAATGGTGCTCCTTAAATTCTATTTTAGTAAATAGTATTTCAGGCCTAAATTAAAGAATAGAAATCCATAATGTGAGCTAAATTAATTCCCTCATTGTTGATCTGGCAAGTGAAGTTAAAGGAGATGTGAGTGGATGGAATTACAGTGTATACAGATGGTGTCAGAGGACGCAGACCGTATACATGGGCTGGGGTGTAAGAATTTCACTAAAACAAGAAGAAAACAAATAGGTAAATGGTATACTAAGTTGCTCCGTCTTTCAAACATGGGAACCACATCTGTAGGTGTATAAATCTATGCTACTATATTCTTGAGTTAGGAACAAGGAAAGAAGGTAGTGTATGTCCCTCTGTGCTTCTCCAAAAAAGGCTGTAGTGCAGGCAAGCAGCAGAGGAAGAACAGGGCAAGCCTGCACACAGGGCCACGGGGGTCAGGCAGGAGCGCGAGACCTGGGGGCTGGATGAAGGCTCGTCTCATCCTAACCCGACCACGCCTTGTCTGCTAGAGCTTTCCATTTTCTCCAGTGCACCCATTCCAAGAGCAGCTCCTTCTCTAAGCAACAGTCCAGCCCTAAACAAATGTCCTTCATCAACTATCTCCCAAGTCAGTTTCATTTTCCTCACCAGGAAAATACCCACAGTACCTATGGGATAAGTGAATTTACAAAGCAAAGTTCATGTTAACTTGTACATTTACTTTTAATTAAAACCATGAAAGTTAGCAAACAACTCCAATTGTTTACATGTACAGACTTGGAGCAGTTTAGTAAAAGGACCATCAGTTGTGAAAGCCTTCATGTGATTTTTGTGGCAGGACTTAATATTTGCATTGTAATTCAATAAGAGTTCTATAGATCATTAAGATGATTCATCTCGAGAAGATAAAACAAATAATAAGATATGAGTGAGCAGTGCTGTGTAGACCCAAATCAGCTTTCACCAGAAAATTGCTAAAATATTTGAAATAACAATGGTCCAGATGCATGTAGACAGAAGGTAGTTTAGTTCATTTTGGCTTTAGATCTAGATCTCTAGGCACAATTGTATGTTAAAATGCCTATAGATTGGAAAAAAATTGTACTTATTTGCCAGGCACTTGTGCTAACTTAACATTATTATCCCACTTAATGGTCAAATTACCCTGTCAGGGAGGTACTAATATTGTCCTTCCAAAAGTCAGGAAACCAGGGTACAAAAAGGCTAAACAATTTGCCCAGCTTTTAAATTGCATAGCCAGGATTTGAAACCAGAGCTTATCCTCACCACCTCCCTTGCTTTACAGCGTATGGGGGATTTAACATGAGATTTTTCTGGGTTCATGTATCAACTTGAAGCCTAAGTTCATATAAATGAGGCTAACACCTTTCTTGGGGCACTACTGCTGCATGTACATGATATATGCCAGAACTGATCATATAAAGTATGAATCAATTCCAGCGAGTACTCAACCAAACTATTCCTAAGACCTCTCTCTCACATATCAATGACGATGAAACTCTATGTAAAATATAGGCTACCTATATTAAATTTGACATACTTTATTCCATAATCAGTTAAAAAAAAAGAAAAAGAAGAAAATTGCACAGCGCTAGAAGTGAGAAAAGGAAGGAAACAATGAGACATTTCCTCTTAAACCAGGATGACGTGTGTCATTTCAGAGGTACTGCTTTGAACCCAAGTGAGGTTTTACTCAATTTGCTTTAGGAAATGTAGCTCGATAATGACCTGTAGGCTTTCTAGAAACAGCTTAACAGAGGGTTTCTTCAGCACAGAACGAAGTCCAAAGGTCTCAGAAGAGGAAAGCGCCCTCCTGCACAGTGGGGTCACCAGCGCCCTGACTTCAGGAGCTGTCTCTGTGCTCGCTTCTGTCAGTCTGTCCAGGGAAACAGCTTTACTTGGTCCTTTGCCCTCCACAGTGTCAGCAGTCTTGACTCCTTCAAAACAAGCATATAAATATGAGAGGTGGAAGACATCTGAGTCATTCTGATCTACACCAAAAATACATATTTACAAAGGGACTAACACACTATGAAAAAATTCAACCCTAACATACCATGCTTGGGGAACCACAGCTGGGATTTCAATGGGGTACACACAATGAAGAAAGAGAACTAGCACAGTCACAGACTTTCATTCAAATCTAACAACTAAAAGCTACTACCTAAAAATTACCGAGGGTAAAGATAAGCAGGGAGTTTTAGCCCCATGGTAATCTAACAAGGTTTCCATGAAACAGCTACTAACTGTTCGCCTGCCTGTACTCATGAGACCTATGACTTGCTCCATAAAATTAACCTGAGCTGAGCAATGAATAACGACCAGTTTTATTGCTGGAGTCGGAGGTGCTTGCAAGGGCTGGGGAAGGGAGAGGACAAGGTGCTGACGAGGGAGATTAAGAAATCAAAAACTTAACTGTGCCATCAGACAAGGCAAGGCTCCCCCTAAAACCCTCAGAGCACTGTCTTACAATTGGCATTTAACAAATATGTTGGGCACTTATGATGTGACTGGCACTCTTCCAGGTGCTAGAGGTACAATGATGAATACAAAGCTGCCACACATTCAGACGACAAACAGACAATATAAAATACAGAACAACTGGGAGGGTTGGAAAGAGCAGGAAACTATGGCTCCAAAAAAAGGGGTATGAGGGAACCCCATGCTGGAACTGATCCGTATCCTAACTGTATGTAGTGTGGTCTCAAGTCTACACATGGGGTAAGATTACATGGAACCAAACATACACACAAATGAGTGCATGTAAAACCAGCAAAATCTGAAAAAAAGCCATTGTATATTAGTGTCAATTTATATTGTCAAAGTATATTAGTGTCAATTTCCTGGATATGACACTATATTACAGCTTTGCAAAATGCTCCCCTTGAGGGACACAGGGGGATAGGGTATGCGAGATGTCTTTATTCATATTATTTCATACAACCACAAGTGAATCTACAATCATCTCAAAATAAAACTTCAAGAAACGCATATATAGCAACAATGCCATGAAATAAAATAATGTAGCAATAAGAGGATAGGCTCTGATAAGGCAGGAGGCGGGTGCTGCTGTTCTGGGGTGCTCGGGGACAGCTTCCTGAGCAGACACCGGAGTGAAGTGAGAAATGAGCCATGCACGTACTGAGGGGAGAACACTCCATGCAGAGCCGAGTGCAGAGACCTGACATAGGCGTGCGCGTGGCGGAGCAGGGGCAGAGCAAGGCCAGCGCGGGTGGAGCCGAGTGAGCAGGAGGAGAGCTAAGAACTAAGCTGAGAGGAGAGGGCCAGGCCAGGGAGGCCAGAGGAAGGGCGGGGGCTGCAGACTACTCCAAGCACACAGGGAAGCCGCCGAACGGTCTTGAGGAGGGAAATGACACAGTGCGACTTGCCTCTCAAAAGGAGAGCCCTGGCCACTGCAGGCTCCTTGGCCTCCAAGACAAGGGTCTGCAAAGCTGGAGGCCAGGAAATCACTCTGGGCAAGAGAGGGCGGCGGCCTGGCCTACAGGGGCAGTAGTTAGGAGGGGAGGATGGCTGGACATCGGTAATGCCGTGAAGACAGCCAAAATAATGGGGCTGGAAATTTAACTTGAAAAGGGAAGGGGAGTGCCAAGGACTGGGGCACAAGCAACTGAGCGATGGTGCATCCTTCACTGAGGTGAGGAAAACAGAAGAGCAGACGGGAGGAAACGCTCCAGACCAGCGTGTTAAGTGTGAGGCTCAGCAGACAGCCACGCGGGGACCAGGGAAGGCAGCGGGCACTGGGGTTTAGAATTCAGGGAAGAGGCCGAGGACAGACACTGAAGGTCTGAAATCCACAGCACACTGACAGGACCTCACGTTGGGAGAAAGCCTACAATCCTACAGGAGCGCGAGTTTAGTCAGGGAAGCCCAAGCACTGAACCCAGGGCATTCAAATGCCTCAAGGGCAGGAGGGGAGGGAAAAGGAGGAACAAGGAAAACGCACACAGAAGCGGCAGTGAAACGGGAAACAAGGAGAATGATGCCGCAACTGCTCCTCCTCAGGTCAGCCGTATCTGTCGGCTTCTGAGGCCTCATGGAGGAGACATGGAGAGTGGGTGCAGGGACCGCTGAGGCCACTGGTTGCCACGGCCTGTGCGGAGCTGAGTCAGGAAAGAATGGAGGCAGGGAGACCAAGGACAGCCTGCTCTTACAGGGAGTTTTGCTTCAGAGGAAAGCAGAGAAATGCAGCTCTGGCTGGAAGGAAATCCTGAGACAAGGTCAAGTTTAAGACGGGACCTATTACAACACATTGTTAATGGGGAAAATGAACACTTTAGAAAACGGGGCACCTCAGACAGAAGGGCCCTGGAAAGGGAAGGGCCGGCCTTGGATAATGCGGGAAGAACTTACTGTAACACAGGAGCAGACAGAGCACGGTGGACAGAGATGCAGGAAGGAGGGTCTGGTGAAGAGGGGCCGGGACATTTGCATGTGACATCTTTCGCTTTCTCAACGACATAAGCAGCAAGGTCTCAACCTTACTGAAGAAGCAAGGGGCTGCCAAGGGCACCAGGGAGAGTTAGCTTAGCTGTCTGTGGGTGGGCTGGCAGATAAAGGAAATCAAAATGCACGGGACCCAGTTAACTTTAAATTATATCTAATGACTTGTGCCTACTATGTACATGGATATAAAGGAAAAATATTGCATGGGATATACAGGAGAGGCGAGGCCATCAACATACAAAATATTTAGTGCGATACATGTGGGGCTGGAAGAAAGAGATGCTAGATTTCTGTCCGATGGGCCACGTGATGGCAGTGGAGGTCAGGGAGATAAGAGGTTGCTGGCTCTCCTCTGCAGCTCTCCTTTGAGACTTTCTAGAAGACTATTTCCCTCCCAAATATACATACCTGACAATTAAAGCAAAAAGAAATTACCTATGGGGTTTAAAATGAACATAAATGTAACAGAGATGACATCTATTGTGTAAACAACCTTAAGAAACGTGTGGGTGGAGAGGAAATAGATCTATACAGCTTGCCAAGTTTCTATATTTTAGATGAATTTGTATTATACTAACTTTAGGGAGGCTGTGAAAACTTAGGGATGTATATTGTAATTCCTAGAGTAACCATTAAAAAAAAAGATGCAATGAAGTATAGTTTAAAAGACAATGGGTAAATGGATTTCTAGAAAGAAAATTTCAAATAAGCTCAAAGACAAGAGGATAGAAACAGGAAAAAAAAAAGAGAAAAAAAAGAAAACATGATAGATTTCAATCAAACCAAATCAATAGTGACTTGAAAGGTTAATGGGCCAAAAACTCCCATAAGACAGAGGTTCATTTGTAGTGTTTTCTCAAACAAAATACACTTAAGTGTTCAGAGATCCTATTTTTTTTTAAATAATAGATTCTATCTACTGGGAAATATTTCACTAATTCAAAAAAGAAAATGTTACAAGAATTCAGAAGTCTTTCTACTAGAACATGAGCTCTTTAAATGCAGGGCAATGTTTTAGTTTTCCCAAATTTTGGCATATAGGTAAACCAACCATAAACATCTTCTGAACACATTTCAGTGGGTGAGCTGGCATACATACTAAGGAAAAATTAAATCTTACCACTTGAAGTCTCTGTGAGCTCTGAGAGTGGACTAGACTCTTCAACTAAACATCCAGACTGTGTCAAACCGGACTCAGAAGATTTCTTGGGGGAAAAATTTAGAGTGAAGAAGTATTATATCTTCTCACTTATGGGATTACTGCTATCTTTATGAAGATTTGAGAAAGCATTCTAGATCATCTGGAAATCTGATATTAAGTCAATCAGTCATCTTCATTACCTAGTCAATTGTTACAAAAGTATACAGAAATCTAAAAGAGAGTATTCATTCTAATGAATACTAAACATACATAGTATCCTAAACATCCTACCAAATGATTTTCAGTTCTCTAGGAGAAATTTAGAAAACAGATTTTCGTTGCCTTACTGTTTAAAGTTTTAACAAGTTTAAAAGCTTAACTGCTTTTTTTAAAGAGGGAATTCTCAAAACAACAAAAAATATTATTATATAAATACTAATCAAACAACAAAAGACCCCAATAGCTAGGATAGGAAGCTGTTAACGGCTAGGATCGAAAACACTCGTACCAGTGCGGCCTAAATCATGGTCTACATCCAAAGTTCTCATAAGAAGTAACTGTTATTGGTTCTGACAGTTAATGATTTCATATCAACTAGGACAGAGCACAAGGAGCAGAGATTACAAGCAACTGTAAGATACAAAGGGAACCGAATGGACCCTGGAGAATTCGTAATGACTGTCAAACATTTATTATGTTCACCCAAATAAGATCAATGACATACTGGATTTTCGTGACAAGAAAGGTACAAGAAAAAAGTTTCAATGCTAATAACGGTGTTTGGTGCCTCCTCTCGCTAAAGAAATGGGATTCTGCTATACCGATCCAGAACTACGGCAAAAAACATTAGTCACGAGGGAACTAGGCTCCCGTTTATACTTGAGTGGAGGTCAAGGATCCTCAGCAGTGTTATTTAATTCATGTTGGCTGTCACCTTTGGTCATCTTGATGGGCTGTATATAGTGGTAAGCAACAAAAATCCCTACGGTTACTTGAAAGAACTGAGCAGAGGAGAAACTGCTAAATAGTTTCCTTGCTCCCGGCCGTCTTTAACCAGTGAGGGACAGCTAGGAAGAAGTCCAAGAGCCCCGGGCCCGAGGTGGTGGCCCACAGGTAATCTTCACCTAGCTTCCTAGTTATGTGTGTGTTCAACTGTCCGCCTTCTCCAGCACACAAGCTGCTCAAGAGCAGGTCTGACAATCTCACTGCTTTCCCACCTGCATCCAGTCCAACACCTGGCAATGTTCATAGTCTTTCTCATAATCAAAGGCAACACGTTAATCAAAACTGTCTAATAACTAATAAGCGAACCTAGAATAAAACAAAGTAACATGTAGGAAACACATACACACACAGTGTAAATTTAAAACTCAGCTATCATAGAGCAGTGCAAGGCACTGTAACTGAAACTGGGTCTTGACAGTCTAAAAACTGCCTCGCCAGAAAACCAAAGCTTCATCTCCCTCTGTCTCCAGTATGTGAAGCACCTCAGAGAGATCTGTAAGAGAAGTTTCAACAGCACACATTCTGCGTTGGGACAAGCAGCAATACTGAGCACGCACCTGGAGATCAACTGCTTCCGGCAGGTCTTCATCAGAGTTGCCCTCTGAGGACGGCCTCCCCCATCTGCATGGTACCTGTGCAGGGAACTCAGACTGCTGACATTCGCCAAGGCTTTCTTTTTTGGTTATATACATAAAACAAGACAAAAACAAAAGAGCACAGACATAAATATTTTCTTTTATACAATACCATTTTAAAATTGTGTATCATAATTTAGCAAAATGTAGTGCTTCAGTCTAAACACTGTATCAATGAAAAGAAAAATCTAGTACATTTTTCTATTCAAAAGAGGAAATCTAACTGAAAGGCAAGAGAACATGGCTACTAAAAAGATAATAAACCTTTATCAGAATTAATTTTTTCGGACTTGAAAATGTACAAAGATATGCTTTTTTTAATATAGTATCTTATTCTATTTTTAAATAAATTTACAATGAAACCTTTTTTTTTGACACTTTAAAGGATGTGTTCATGTTCTAATACTGGTTCTGCTTTGACTGTGTATGACTTTATGAGAAATACAGCCATAATACGTCTTAGCACTCCGGAGCTACAAAAAGGGAATTCAGTCATCTGCAGCACTACAGTCTTCATGTAAACAATTTAAAAACTCAGGTAAAAATTGAAAAGTAAGTAGTTACAAACTACAAATACACATGAGTGCATGGGAGTGGGTCATGCCTGGTGCAGGCAGACGCACTGGGCTTGTCTTAACAGTGCCCTGCATGCAAGGAGGCGAGGAAATGTGCTCGAGGTGGTTCAAGACACCAAGACCAAACCGCTTGGAACACAAGGGCTTGAAAGGAATGGCTTCAGCGTCAGAGGGACGGTTGTGATGATGAGGATAAGGCCACGATTTTGTCTAAGTTTGATGTCTGAAATGCTTTGTGATTAGAAAATCAAAAGTGACAGAAAAAATAACCAAAGGAATTATGATCTAAAAAAACTTAGGGTAAAGAATATGGCAGGCTACTGGGATGTCAGATTAGAGAAATCTGTTTATAATATCAGGGTGAAGTGTTTGGTAGTCATATAAATGCTTGCCAGACTTAATCCCCTAAAAATCAAGATTTGTTACACTCAGATTTGCCACCCGCCCTATTCTAAAGATGAAATGAGCTAATCGGCACTGACATTTCAACACTTAAAACTTAATTGTGGCCATGTGGAAATGTAGGCTTAGAAATGTATGATATCAGGGTTTTTTAAGAGAAACCAGAAGTCCAGATTTTTTTGTGAAATGTCCCACATTTTAAGTGTTAGGCTTCATTTTAAAATACAGCTCTGCTCAGGAAAGACACCTTTTGCACTGTGACTAAATCTTACATACCCCAGAGGCTTGTCTGAATAAGTGCACAAGTCCAAATTGACTGAATTCTTCCTACTCACTCAAGCCTGTCGCCTCCAACTCTCCTGCCTCTGAGAATTCAGGACAGCCAGTCATTTTCTCGGTTTCCGTTATGGAGTGAAAAGCAGACTGGAAGGCAGATATTCGCTCTTTTAAAGAATTAACATTTCCGTGTAACACAGGGCTGCCCTGTTAAATAAGAGACACAGAGGGTGTTAGAAATCAAATTAAATAGTCTCTACATTCCAGGCCTACAACCACTGAATCCAAAACTAAATGTACCAAGGCTCTCTGAAGATCAGGGGCACTAACTCGTGCAGCGAAGCCCCCTCCCGCGAACCACACACTCTCAGTCTGGATATTCAGTATGCTGCCGTCACCTTACTTTCACCTCTGCTCCCCTTCATTTGTAACCTGGAGCAAAGAGGAATCACTGCATGGGATGTACAGAGGTGTGGGCTTAGGCTGACCAGTACTGATACTAGGTCCACGGACCAGACAAGGCAAGCCTGGAGTAGGTGGAAAGGGCTTTCAAATTATTTGGGAACTAAACCGATCTTTAAAAGGTTTCTTTCTGGGGGGCTTAAGTTAGAGTCCATAACCTGAGACAGCCTCAGTGAATCAATTCTGAAAAGGAGTTTCAGCACAAACATGTTTGAGAGAAGCTCGTCTTAAGAGAGCACATGGAGACCAGGAGCAAGCATTGAATCCTGGGGAGGAGGCGAGTAAGGAGGGCCAGAGAGAACCAGCCTATGTGGAAATCTTACCTAAGGTTTGCTAAAAACAATCCACCGAAAGTCATCTGCAGAACCTTGGTCACAGGAGGTCTCAGCGCAGCTCGTTCCACTGCTCACTTCCATCTACACACCCGCTTGCCAGGAAGCCAGGACACACACACGTTCCCTGGTAGCTCAGATGACCACCCTCATACTTACCTTGTCTTCTTTGGCTCTGCCCAATTGAATTTTCCTGACTTCATGGGACCTTACTTCCTTAGAGCTAAAAGCCAGCCATTCACTAAAACTATAAAGCCAAATAGTAAGATGGGCTAAGCACAGAAGTCCTCTGGTAACGCTGCTAATAGGGTTTCAGCCACAAAGTCATCAAATGAAATTGATAAATGCTGGGATAGAGCTGCCAGATAAACCCAAGTGACACAGACTGAGAGTTCTGTTTACCCATAAAATATATAGACTTTCACAAAGCATACTCTGCTACATAGTAACAGAACATTCTAAATTCAAATACGGTTGATGACATAAACCCTTATGACATAACATTCATAAAAAGCTGGTGGTCAACTCTTATCTTATCTGAGCTACGGAGAAAGAAAGGAGCTATCCCAAAGTCATACAATTTACCCTGAATGTATTTTATACTCATATTTGAATATGGTAGCGGTAGATTAAAAGTCCTAGGAATTTGGAGCCTTTTGAAGTGCTGCTTAAAACAAATTACATATTCCCAAGTCAAAACTGTTTCTTCTTTATTTCCTGATGGAGAATGAGACTATACAAGGTAAATGAAACTTTCAGAATGCACTCTAGTTTTGATTTTTGTCTTACAAATGGTGTCAGTCAGTCAACAACATTCCATCCAGATACTGGAAACTGTTTCAGTGGCTCAGGATAAGGGGAGAAATGATGAGCAAATTCCTGAAAACATACTAACATAGTTTCAGGTACAAGAGGTACTACTGAGAAGATGTGAAGGAATGTGATTCAGGTACCTAAAAGTGCCACTTCAGCTTGAATCAGAACAGCACTCTACCTGAACTCACTTTTGAGTTGAAAACAAACATGAGCAAGTGGTAGTTAAGGGAGATATGGCAGGAGGCAGGCACAACAGCAAAGGCCCTGAATGGAACCAGGATGCAGCTGGGAAAAGGCAAGTGTGCCCGGGGACTGGAAGATGGGGAGATGAGGATAATGGAGGGCACGGATCAGATCAGGGAGGGGGGTTTGAGTTTCATTCAATTTCCCAAGAAACAGAAATTAAGACAACAATCCCATTTACAAATGCATCACAAAGAAAAAAATACCTACTCATAAATTCAACCCAAGGAGGTGAATGACCTGTTCTCTGAAAATTGTAAGAAATTAGTCAAAGAAAAGACATAAATAAATGGAAAGATATGCTGTGCTCATGAACTGGAAGAATATTATTAAAATGTCCATACTACCAAAGCAAGCTATAGGTTCAATGCAACCTCTATCAAAATGACAATGGTATTTACCACAGAAGAACAAATAATCCTAAAATTTGTATGGAACCACACCAAAAAGCAAAGCAATCTTGAGAAAGAACAAAGTTGGAGGCATCACACTTACTGATTTCAAGCTACAATATAAAGCTACAGTCACAAATACAGGCATAGACACAGATATATAGATCAATGGAACAGAAAAGAGAGCCCAGAAATAAATCCACACACGTATGGTCAACTAAATTATGACAAAGGAGCCAAGAATATATAGTGAGGAAAAGACAGTCTCTTCAATAGAGAGTATTGGGAAAACTGGACAGCTGCATACAGAAGAATGAAACTGGCCCACTATTTTACACTGTACACAAAAATTAACTCAAAATGGATCAAAGACATGAATGTTAAGACCCAAAACCATAAAGCTGCTAGAAGAAAATAGGCAGTAATAAGCTCCTTGACGGTAGTCTTGGAGATAATTTTTTTTATTTGACACCAAAAGCAAAGGCAACAAATGCAAAAATAAACAAGTGAGATTATATCTAAAAAGCTTCCGCCCAGCAGAGAACACCATCGACAAAATGAAAAGGCAACCTACAGAATGGGAGAAAATATTTGCAAATGATATATCTGATAAGGGGTTGATATTCAAAACATATAAAGAACTCAACAACTCAGTAGCAAAAAAACAATCTGATTGAAAAATGGGCGTAAGACCTGAAGACATTTTCCCAAAGACATACAGATGGCCACCCGTACATGAAAAGGTGGTCAACATCACTAATCAGCAAGAGAATGCAAATAAACAATGAGATCTCAACTCACAGTTGTTAGAATGGCTAGTTATTAAAAAGGCAGGAAATACCAAGTGTTGTCAAGGATGTGGAAAAAAGGGAACCTTTGAGCACTCCTAGGGGAATGTAAATTGGTGCAGCCACTATGGAAAACAGTATGGAGCTTCCTCAAAAAAATTAAAAAAACAACTATCATATGATCTAGCAGTTGCACTTTTGGGTATTTATCCAAAGAAAACAGTAATCTGAGTATATATATGCACCCCTATGCTTCTTGCAGCATTACTTACAATAGCCAAGATACGGAAATAACCCAAGTGTTCATTGATAGATGAATAAAGAAAATGTGAGATTTTATACACACACACACAGTATTTTTCAGCCATAAAAGAGGTAAAAGATCTTCCCATGTACAACAACATGGATGGACCTTGTGGGCATTATGTTAAGTGAAATTATGTTAAGTGTGAGATCAAAAAACAAACAAAAAAAACTGAGCTCATGGATTCAGAGATTGGTGGTTACCAGGGAAGAGGGTGGACAAAGTGGGTGAAAGGATCAAAAGGTAAAACATCCAGTTATAGAAAATAAATAAGTCATGGGGATGTAATGTACAGCATGGTGACTATAGTTAGTAAATCTGTACTGTATATTTGAAAGTTGCTAGGAGAGATCTTAAAAGTGCTTATCACAAAAAAAAGTTTTGTAGAATGAACAAAACAGCACTAGATTCATAGACACTGAGAAGTGGGGGAGGGTGGGGGCGGGAGGAATAAAGAGGCATAAAAATTCTCAATTTGTTGTTGGTCACAGGGATAATAGTAAAGCATGGAGAATACAGTTAATGATTCTGTAACGTCTTCCTATGTTGACAGATAGTAGCTGTACTAGAGGAGGGGAGGATTTAATAATATGGGTAAGTGCTGAATCACTGTGTTGCACACCTAAAAATAAACAAAAAAAACTTATGTTCACACAAAAATCCATAAAAAACCCACTAAGATTTTCAATTTATAATCTGTTCTTCTGACCTATATGTGTCTCCTTATACCAACAGTACACTATTTTGCTTTATATTAAGTTTTGAAATCAGGTAATTCCAACTTTGTTCTTTTTCAAAACCATTTGATTGTCCAGCTCTTACATTAGCTCTTTCAAATTACCACGCAATTTATAAAAACAGTAGGTCAATTTCTACCAAAAATCCTCCTTGGATTTTGATTGAAATTGTACTGAATCTATAAAACAATACCTTAACTTTGTTGAGGGCTATGATCCATTAATATGGTACATCTCCATTTATTCAGGTCTTTAATTTTTCAGCAATATTTTATGGTTATTAGTACACAGATTATTTTCTTAAATTGATCCCAAGGTATTTCATACTTTTATGTCATGATATTGCTCTTTTTCTTTTTGAGATTTAAATTTCCAATTGTTTCTTGCTAATATGTCTAAATACAATTGATTTGTATATATTGATCATGTATCTTCAAATCCTGATAAAACTGTTTTTAGTTCTATTAACTTTTTTGTAAACTAGGAATTTCTGCATATATAATCATGTCATATGTAAATAGTTTTATTTCTTCCTTGCCAAAAAAAAAAAAGAAGAAAAGAAGTCTCGTAAGTATGTATGGTAAAGGATGTTAACTAGACCTACTGTGATCACTTTGGAACATACAAATATTGAACCATCATGCAGTACACCTAAAACTAATTATATGTCAATTACACGACAGCTTAGGATGGGAGGCCCTGTACTGAAAACAGCATTCAAGTCTTCCCAAAGAACAGTGAGCCTCCCAGCCCTTTTCCACATCTGGCTTCCAGAGTTCTAGGGCTCAGGTCTAGGCCCCCAGGAATTCCTCCCAGAGAAAACAGATCTACCAAAGAGCAAAAGACCCACAGGATTCTGCCATTTGCAAGTTCTTCCAATGAAAAAGTGGCCCTGATGTCCTACACAGAAACCCACTCACAAACAAACCCAGGCCATGCCCATGGTACCCTCAGTCAGTTTTGAAAGTGCCTCACTTTTAATTATGAACAGTCAAGGATTGTCAGGCTTCTGAACAAAGATTTAAGCATGAGATAGAACCTAAAATAATCAGGGAGCAAAATGGAACCTGAAGGAAAAGAGGCCCTGAGAGGAGGGAGGAAATGTCAACCAACAATGTCCTCAGCCATCCACAATGAAAGCTATTCCACCACGAAATTTTGTAACACCAGAAACAGAGCTTCAGAATGAAAACAGGCTACAAAGAGCAGGGAACGGAAGTATGTGCTGAATGAATGAAGAGGATTCTTCAGCTCTGTAAGCCTAAAGAGAGCAATACCTTCGAAATTTTGATGGAAATAAGTCCAATCTGTATTTCTATACTAAGACAAACCATAACTCAAATGTGCTGGTACGATAAACTGGCAGATATGCAGAGGCTCCAGAAAAAACATATGGGTCAGGAAAAGGGAATTACCAAGGATAGCGAAACAAGTCACAAAGGGACAGGTGTCCAGCAAATCTAGGTGGCAACCAAGCCAACAGGAGGAAGAGGTCAGAGGACACAAGGAAAAAGAAATGAAATCCTATCAACGAACTCCTCAAATTGCTATGTTAAAACCCATGGATCTATCTTGTAATTTGAGAGTATATTTTGTATGAACTGGTCATTTGGAAAATACTGGTTCACTCAGTTATGCAGATCTTCTAAATGTTGACACATTTCATTATGCAGCATCAAAACATCCCATTCATTATATAACCACTGATGTATCAGAAAAGTCTAGCTATTGCAAAGTTGTCAAGCTCACAGTAGTAAATGCAAGTTTCCCCAAATTCTAATTTTCTCTTGGAGATATTTCAGTTTTTCCTTGAAGTGGCAGGTTCATTGTTCATTTTTGAGAAAATATCAGCCACGTTCCTAAGTCTGATGCACCATGATGTCAGTCACTCCTTCAAATAAAAATGATGTTCTATCAAAAAAAATGAACTCATCTTGCAGCTCAATCACACATGTGATTTTTTTTTAGAAACACACACCATACTTTGGTATGGGCTTTGGAAATGCCCTGACACATACTGCCCATTTCAGCCCACATAATACTCAAGGATTGAAAAATCAACAAAATTTACAGTTTTTATTGCCTCATCAGGGATGTTAAGTGAAACTGGCATTAGTTATTTTCTGTGACTGATGTGCGACAATGAATAAAATGACACTTTCGTGCCTTTTCACCCACTGTTGCTTTTATACCACAAGTACAAATGTCAATGCAGTGAAAGAGGGCAAATAACATCTTAGTGCTATTACAAAACAGTTTCAACCTCACGGACCTCCTGAATGCGACTCAGCAATCTCCAGGGACCTGCAGATTATCTGTGAGAACCACTGCACTGCCCTGTACAGACTCATGCATAGTGTCTAAAACTGAAAATTGAGATGTGGCACACAAGTGTAGTTTAAAATAGGAAGGCCAATATCAAGAGCCAAAAATAGCTGTCCTTCATGAAGGGTAAGCTGGGGACTGTCTTTCAAAGTAAGCCTTGTATTATACTACTTGACTTTTTGAGAACATGTATTATTCTGATAAAAATCTGCAAAAATACCTAAATACTTCCCCATCAGCAGACAAATAATTTGCTCCCTTTCACAAGATTATCCCAAATACATTTTTGTACTGGTTGCCTCTACAGGCCAACACATAGTAGTCACAAAAAAATGAGGCATTTAGAAACAAGATATAAAAAAAGGTTGGAAAACACTGCCTCACCTCATTATAGATAGATATCAACTAAGAAAAAAATTTGCAAAATAAAATATAAAGCTCCTCTAGAAAGCCATTTCTATCCAGGACCTCATAAGTCTTCAGAGATCCGTGCTCAGTACCACCATTTATACTAGCTGCACACACTGTAATACACAGAGAATATACTCTCCCTCCAGATCCCAAAACAGAAATGCACTGGGCAGAAACACTGTTCAAAAGCTTTGTAAGAGCAAAACATCTCCCTGGAAGAATTCATGATAGAACTTAGAAGAATACCATACCTGAAAAGGGGAATTCTGTGCCAAAGGAGATTTCTCTGCATTCTTTAAATTCCGCTGCTGAGCAATGAAACGAATAAGATGGTTTGTTTCAGGAGAGCCCCGAGCACCAACTGCAGAACGTCGTCTGGATTTTTTAAGGTAGGATGATGGCTTTCCTATAATGAAAACTCTCTTTTAAGTTGGAAGAAAACAAGACAACCATCAATAATTGTGTCCCAAGTACTTGTGATGTACCAGCCTGAGAGGGATTTATTCCATGTGCCAGGAACAGTGCCTGGCACAGAGAAGGCAAATGGTTGTAGAATGAATGCATGAACAAATTTTAATGAATAGTTCTCATTTTCATTTATTTCCTACACACAGCGGTGGGTAATGATTTGCTTTGTACTAAGAATTTCTCTTTTTCTGAATTAGCCTTATCCCCAAGGATGGAAAGGTAAGATCTCCACCTCGGCACATGTCCTCTGGTGTTCTCGGTTCAGTAACTTTGCTTCTCTCATCTACCTTCCCCACGCTACCTGAAATTCTGGCCTTACACCTAAGCACACAAATAAAGCTAGCTTTTTAAAGGTTTCAGAGTAATATTCTTGAGGTGGGAACACAGAATGGCATGCCACTTTTGTTCCTGTGCCAATCTCGCATTACCTTGACTTAAGTCCCTCACTACCCTCCATTCTAAATGTGGTTCTCTAATTCCATTCCCTTATTTCTTTTTTCTTCATCTAAAGCAGACTTCCCAGGTGAATTTCATTTCTACTCCTTGAAGGACATTAGCCATTGATTCAATTTTGTTTGTGATTTTGAAAGAGGCATGTGTCTTATTATCTAAATTGCTCCTCAAGTTTCTCTTATTTTTGCCATAAACAAATAATTAGTAAATATACTTATTTATAGTATACACCCTCTTGTATTCCATGCGTCAGGTCCAAAACTGACTCACATATACATTCTTCAGTTTGGGCACTGAGCACAGCTAAGACTTAGGAACATTATCAGGCTGGGAGGCCCTAGGAGCCTGGTATCCTGCTAAGCTCCGCGCACTGTGCGTGTGCACAGAAGTCTCCATGACAAAGCAGGTTTCAAGAGTCAATCAACTTAGATACGTAAAGGAACGAGACAGGGTACAGAACAAAACTGAGTTATATTAAAGTTATTTTTAAACTTTAAAACCATTGCAACAGAGTAATAACTTCTCTTACCTGAAGGGTTCTTAACAAAGCTTTCAGGTGTAATTCCCAATTGCTCTACAGTTACTGTATCAAAGTTCAAAGGTGACTTAAAAGTATGTGGTGCACAACCATTAGGAGTCACTTCTGCATCCTTCTGAGGAGTCACAAGCTTCCCATTTCCCAAAATGAAAAAGGCATTTTCTGAAACAGACATGTCGTGGGGCTAAACATCATTATGATGACAAATACCTAAAGCTTAAATTGCGTAAGAAGGCAACAGATCACTACATACCAGCATTGTTAACAGCAGACTCCTCGGTTTCAGGAGGTTCGGTGTCTTTTGAATTGGTATCCATCTAAAAAAAGAGTAGGAAAAAAGAAAATGAACCCCACCCCCAAGATTACTGTGATTTTATCAAGATCCTCATTCAAGACTTACCGCTAATAACAATCTACACTGGGCATGAAAATAGATGCCAAGAAAGCACGTTTGGAGCTTCAATTAAAGACAGAAATGCTGTTCAGAATGAAAAGGCACACCCCATACTTTAGGCCGTGGCTTTTCAACCTTAGCGAATATCAGAGTATCTGGCTGGTTCTGGATTCCCAGGAATTCTAATTCAGTGGGTTGGGCTGGGCCCCAGGAACCTGCATTTGAGCTCGTTCAGGTCGCAGGAGGACCACCAGCCTCCGGGCAAGGTAAAGAACACGCTTCTGAGAAACGCGCCCAAGGAGCAGCGCGCTGTGCCGGACCCCGAAACCAAGCCAGGGCGCTTCCGCGCCTCTCGCTCCACAGCCGCCTCCCCTCCCGCCGGGTTTTTCTGGAACCTCAGCCGCCGATGAGGGTCTTGGTTATCGTGCTTCCTCGACTCCAGTCCTGAAGGGAAAGCAACTGCTGGCCGCCCGGTAGCCTCCTGGACCCCGACCGCTTACCCCGCGTGCACCTCCTCGCCGCCCGCCGCCGGATTCAAACAGCAGGCCCCGCCTCCTCGTCGTTACTCTGCGAATCCCGACGCCGCCGTCATCCGCACGTGTTGGCGCGCGCCCCGAGCTCGCTCAGGCCTCCAAGCCCGCCGTCCCAGGAAGAGCAGTGGCTCGGCGAGCTCGCAGAGAAATCGCCGCTCGTTGCGGGTGGCGCACTGAGCGGAAGGACCAGCAGCTCTCTTGTGCCCTGGAGAACTACTTTCTGCGAGAGTCTCGCGGAGGAACCCTTTTGTTAGTATTTTAGCTATATCTCCGGCCCTTCGATTGGATGATGCAAACTTCGAAAAGAATCATTGGACCAATCCTAACAGAACGATCGACTGGCTCCCACCCAATCAGCCAGTCCCGGCGGTAGCCGTTTCCTCTGCAGGGGAGCAAGTGGGAGAGGTCACTGTGAGGAGGTCCTTACTGGTGAAGGTCCCTCCCAGCGCTCCACCTCCTTCCCTCAAACCCCGCCTTCGTATGCAAATAGTTCTACCTGGTGTCGGGATTGCGCCTGCTCAGTAAGGCTTTGAGCAGCCGCTCGCCTTCAGGTTCTGCTCTGATTGGCTGATAAGCCCTTCCCGTCGGCTAGACTGCAGACTCCTTCCCTCCCTCCACCTGGGCTGGGTTAGTAGGAGCCCACCCAGTGCAGGACGGTGATTGGCTGAGCTCTAGCCGGCGCTGCCGATTGATTGGTGGAGCTTGGAATCACTCTGGGAGTGGTGGGGGAAGGGCCTCAGGCCGGCTGAGGAGCCCAGGGGCGGGGTGGGAAAGAGGGCCGGCCAACCGTGGGGTGTGGAACGGAGACAGTGTGTGTGTGTGTGTGTGAGTGTGTGTGTACGTGTAAAAGAAGGAAGGTGGCGAAGGGAGGAGAGTCCGAGTGGGTGGAGGGAGGGGAAGGGAGGGAGAAGAAAAAGGTGGGAGGAGAGCCAGGTGGAAGGGTGGCGACTCACTCAGGACCCGGTGGGGGCAGCGCGATGAGGCGGGTGACCCTGTTCCTTAACGGCAGCCCCAAGAACGGAAAGGTAAGGGGGTCGGAAGGAGGCCAGGCGGGCGCGGCTGCGGGGGTCGCGGGCAGCGGAGTGCGGAGCGGGCTCGCAGGCAGAGGCTGAAGTTGGAGAGAAGGGCTGGGAGGTGGGCGTGCGCCTGGGTGGGGGGCGTCCGGGAGGCGAACGGACTGTCCCCGCGGCCTCCTCGCAGCCCGCCCGCGGGCTTTTAGCCCGAGCCTGCCCTTGGCCTCCCTAGCTGTCCCGGGTTCCAGTGCAGATCAGCCTGTGTTCATGGTTCCCCAGCCAGGTGTAGGTCCCGGAGAACCGAGGACTCGGAGGGCCCGGGGAGGGCCGCTCTCACCTGAGCCCTTGGCGTTGCTGTCCCTCTTGCCCCCACTCCCGAGATCCCTTCGCCCCCACCCCTGGCTTTAGAAGGCGCTGGTTTCCACCATCGTGCTGAGTAATGATCTCCAGAAAGTGGTGCTAACAACTCAGGCATGTAAGGTTGATCAGCAAAAAAGGACAGAACTGTTTTATCACTGGATAAGTGAAGTGTACTTCCATCCTAGAAGGAATAGAGGGTTGAAAATTGGGAACATTTTATTGATGTCCCCCATTTTTCTTATAGGCGCCCCCAGCCCCACCGCCGCTAAACTTCTATACTCACTTTATTATTTCGATTTATTTTAGTTCCTTAGAGGACTGTGACAATAGACCAAAATGGAATGCTTAGTCCTTGCAGTGTTAGGCCTTTGTTGAGGGTGTGGTCTTAAATATTTTTCCGAAGCTAGAGCAAGCCAAAATGAATCCTATTTCTTCTCAGTCTCTTGCCCCGCCCATGAAAGTTTTTTGGCCTCTTTGGAAAAATTGACTGTTCCAGGCAGACGTTTGTGGTGTGGTTAAGTGACATCTAGAAGTAACTAAGGCTTAGAGTCTAAGGTAAAGATAAAGTGCCCTCATTGTATTATTTGCCCGAATGCTTTGTTTCCTACATGTTTGGAAACATTGTAAATTTTTAAAGAGCCATTGTGCCATGGCATAAAAACATGGTTTTCCAAATACTCTGCAATTTTGAACAAACATGCTCTGAAAATTTGAATCACAGTGTAGTTTGTTGACTCTAATTTTATGTTCTTCTTGTCTGAGATTGAATACTCTTAGAAAAACAACTGGTGTATATTACAAGTTCTTGAATTTTCATAAATGCTACTTCAAAATACGCTTAACAGCGTTTACATTGTTTCTCACCATTGATTTAACTTTTTCTAAACCTGTTTTGTCTGTTGTTAGCTACTACTACTAATTTAAAACTTATATTGTTACTGGAAGAAAAAATTAGTATATCCAAAGTCACGACTGTAAAATGTTCCCAGAAACAGACCTCTGACCTTTTTATGCAACTTCTGTGCTGTGTTACTCCATGAAAGACAAGATGTTTAGACCCAGTATTAAATATTTAACTGAGCTCTAAATCTCTTTGAAAACCACTGAATTTTGCTCTTGCCAAAGACTGGCTGTGTTAGTCTTACCATATTGTTTTTGATAGGGTGTTTCGTGGTTTCTTTTTTAAGCTATCTGCTTTTTACTAGGTTAGGTTTTGGGGTTTAAATTTTATTTATTTTAAAATTGGCTTGATAGAGAACCTCAGAAGATTGGAAAAGACACATCTCAAATAAAACTGTTTATGTAACAAAGATCATAAAAACCCAAACTGCAGAATATTAGTATGATTCTGTATTGAAAATAAGTCATGCCGTAAGCCTGACTACTCAACTGGAACACATTCTGTGCCAAAGTTGTCAGTGTTTTCTCTGCTCTCCCTGATTAAAAACATATTCTAATTACTCCTGTTTGATGGCAGAGAGAATAATACCTAACAGCCTGCATTTTTCCTATAAATAAAGTGATTGTATTTAGCCAAGATCGTCAGGGCCATGACATGATGTCCATGAAGAGCATGCTGAAACAAAGCACCGCTATGGAATAGTTTGATTGCCCATCCACCAGTTGGAACATCTGTGTCACTTGCATTATCTCCTATTTACCGAGCTTCTGTTTTTGTTTCCTGATCAGAAAAGTAATGCTTGTGTTTTTAAATAAGTTTCCCTCCTGTAAAGCTTGTTCGGTGGTGGCCACACTGGGCTGTATAGCCTGCGATTCAGGAGGCACAGTCCTACAGGGGGTACAGCTTCTACTTACCATGACTGTGCTGTGTGCTGAGTGGACACAAGTGTACCTAGTGAACATTCTGATGTTGGAGAGAGGGCTGTGCGCTCTGTGCCACACTGCCTTCCAGCATGCGGTGGGCGCCACAGAGGGTATGCAAGAGAAACCAATAGAGTTTAAGAAGAAATGTATCTTTTATTTATATTTTAACTGTAGATACACAATATTAAAACTTGATTTTTCACAGCCTGTAGAGACAGTTGCTTTTAGTCTCAAGTCTTCTGAGAGAAGGGAGTGCATTTGCTTGTGAAAGGTTAATAGTGGCTTCACTGGTTGGTCACTGTGGCATTCTGTGATGTATTGAAGCACACAGTGCCAGGTTAAGATTTGTGTCACTCGGTTTTAACTAAATTAACCCACACCAACTTGCCAAGTGGCTTTAAAAGATTCCTTCAAAGAAGCTGCAGATTGAAGACAACATATTAATCATACAACCACAAGAAAGCAATGAGAAAATGGCAGAGCTGTCACTCCTATATAAACTATGAGATGATAAAAAAAAAAACAGTGCCTTTCTTTGAGTCTGAGAAGTCAAAAACTGCCAGATTTTAAAGAAGGGCATTTGAAGTCCTGTTTAATAACTGCTATTACCAATAAACCACTCTCTGTGGTGTACTGTTCTTTGAAATACTAGCCAAATGATAGGGTGAGGTCCTCCCAATTAGCAAGACATTTAAAAATATTTTCTAGCACATGAAGACAAATTTTCATATATTTTTCTTTTTCTTTTCCTTCCTTTTTAAAAAAATGTTTAAACTCAATCTTGTATGTGGCAGAATTTCACTAAAAAACTTGTAGGGGGTATTTTACAGTCTAAGTTGATAAAAGTCCTTATATCATTTGGGAAATACTTTTTCTAGCATATAATTTATAAATAAGTACCAAATACACAAATGCTTGAGCATATCCCCAAAACGTCTTTCTGGTGAGGTACATAGTCAAAAACATTTGAAGGTCATCTTTCTAAAAAATTGGTATTTTTAATGTAAGTTTTAGGTTTTTTTAATGTAAGTTTTAGGTTTTTTTAATAGCTCCAGAAGAGAGAGTTATGCTTGAACCTTTATCCTTACCCCATATGCCTCGGAGTTCCTACTGTTCTCTTTTTAATATTCATATTAAGGAATTAGTTTGTATTAAGGAATTTGAAATGAGGACCCAGACATCTGAATGTGACGAGTGGCTTCTGAGCAACCTTGAGGTCCGTTCAAAGTTTTCTGTACTTCCTGAACATAAGTTGCTTTTTGAACTTCAGAATATTCAATAAGGAGCTAGGCAGTAATGTGCAAGTCATAGGCCCTATTCATTCATTCAGTCAGCACTTTGAATACTGTCTTTCAGGAACCATGCCAGGCACTGCAGATGGTAGAATATAAAATAGATCTGAATTCTGTACTAATGTTTACTGTCTTGATCCAGGGCATAACTGTTTTCTTCTGGCCTTGATATTAACTCAGAAAAATGTTGTTGTGAAACAGTCAGTGTCCATCAATAGATGAATGGATAAAGAAGAGGTACTACAGATACACAATGGAATATTACTCAGCCATTAAAAAAAATCTTGCCATTTTTAAGAACATGGATGGACCTAGAGGGTTTTATGCTAAGTGAAATAAGTCAGGCAGAGAAAAGACAAATATCATACGATCTCACTTATATGTGGAATCTAAAATAAAACAAAATGAACCCAACAACAATAGACTCATAGACACTGAGAAGTGACTGGTGGTTACCATGGGTGAGGGGGAAGGGTGGGTGGGTAAAATAGGTAAAGGGGATAAAGAGGTATAAAATCTCAATCATAATAGTTACAGGGATGAAAGTATAGCATAGAGAATATAGTCAATAATTCTGTAACATCTTCTGTGTTGATAGTAACTACACTAGTTGGGGTTAGCATTTAAGAATGTTAAAAAAAAGAAATATGTTGGTGGTGTTAAGTATCCAAATTTGAACCCATTACATTGAATTGAATTGAAGAAAGGTGAAAATCTATGTGAACCTTTGCCTGTTGAAAACTAAATATTAATAAGAATCTTGCTCTCAAGTTGAAGCATTGTAAAAATATATTTGACCAATAAAGTAATATGCATAAAAATTAAAAGGAAAATAGTGTAATAAACATCAGTAAACCTGCTACACAACCCAAGAAATAGCATATTACCAGAACGTAATGT